ATATGCTTCTCAGCAGCGTGCCTGACCCTCGCTTTTGGATTCCAGGGAGCCCAGTGTAGAGTAAAGCCCCAGACCTTCTGAAGCTGAGCCTGTTGGTGCGTCCCAGCAACCACGTGTCTCCCGGACTTGTAATGTGCCTGAGCTGAGGACCCCAGGCAGCAACTGCCTTTTCCCCTGTTATATCATGTCTGTGACCCATGTCCCACTCTCAGAGATTATAGCTGAGTGGAACTGGCTTTTCCCTGTACCAACCCAGATCTGTGGACAGGCCCCAGATCTAATTCTGGGTACATCAGCTTCTGTGTCCCTGGTGACTGGTGTAAAACTGTGCAAGAGTGAGGTTCACCTGATCAGAGTCAGTAGGACATTTGCTGGAGCCTCTGAGGGTGATTATGTCATTAATTTAGTTGGACAGAAGGCAAGAAGGACAAGAAACCTCTTCCTGAGAATCAAAGCAAGCACAGCAGAATGGAGGGTGAGTAAAATGGGTTCCTGGACCAAGTTTTACCTGAAGCCAGCTGCCAGCTCACATCTCTATCACACATACTAATAAAGTCCTTTCTTGACTTCCGGTGTTTCTAGCTAGCACCTGGAGCCCAAAGAACCTCAAACATCACAGCGTGACAGATGTGGGAGTGTGGGGGATAGTTAAAGCTCTTTAACCTAATAGGCATTAAGTTCAAATCCTGTTTTTCATCCCCCACCCCCACCCCTTAGCAACTGTGTGACCCTGGATGAGTCTCTTTGCCTCTCTGATCCTTTATCCTTTGGTAAAGCAGGAAAATCACCAACTTGTTGCCGTGGAAGAGGGGAGTGGAAACTTCTCTCTGGCTTAATAAACACTTGGAGGGGTTGGGAAACCAAGCAAATCACCTCCAGCAAGCAAGCAAGCATCCCTCCTTGGTAAGAAGCAAGTTGGAGAACTGGAGAGAAATGAGTGAGAAAAGTCAGAGAAGGCCACGTGAAGATGCTGCAGGATGATGACACCTCAGCCTGTACGGGGTGGACCAAGCAAACCCTCAGCCGCAGGTGGTGATAGGAGCCCCCTCTGCAGTGCCTCGGACAGAAATTCTAAACGTGCTAATGAGGCCTGCACAGTGCCCAGAGACAGGGAATGCCTGCTTAATTTCCCAGCAGGAGGCCACACTCAAGGCTACCTTCCACCTTCCCTCCTGGCCAGAGCTGGAAACCTCAGCCAGAAGGCCAAGCGAGTCCTGTCCCAGGACAGCACGCAAAGCTGAGCCTGGAAGCCATCTGGTCCCCGATTCCGCCTAATGTCTGCAGCAGACCTTGAGCTAATTGCCTGGTTGGGGCACTGCCTGGACATCTTTAGCACCTAATTCACTACTGTTTCTCTGGAAGCCTCATTCCCCACCTGCAAGGGAGGGACATGCCTGTTTACAGGGATTTTAAGCCTCTGGAATCCTGGTCTGACCTGGCAAAGCTCCAGCTGGCTCCATAGCCAGGAGAGCATCCTTGGTTTCCAGCTCAAGTCTTAAGCTGGCCCCCTCCACCAGACCAGTCTCTTGCCCCAGGCTCTGGTTCTATCCTCAGCTCCACCCCCAGCAAAGGTGGAGGAGAATGGGAAGAAGCTTAAGTGAGAAGTGAGTGAGACATGGGATCGGGGATCCCAGAGACATGGGTTCAAATCTCAGCTCAGTTACTGCCTCACATGGGTCCTGGAAACAATACCATTCTACTCTGATCTGTTTTCCCATCTACAGAAGAGACCCGGATGCCTTGCTTGATGTGGTAACAGCCGAGATACCAAGAGCTCATGTGCTGCTACAGAGCCAGCAGGGAGACTTCATCTAGACAGTACCCCTGGGTAGATGAAGAAAGCACCTTGACCCCAAACGCACTCTGTCCCAGATTTGGTGCTCCTCCATACCTCCTGCCATCAACTTGAAATGCTATGCCCAGACCCCTTTGTACTGCTACCTAATGCCCAGGTACACACACCCACTGTGAGTGTAGGGCAAAGAGCCAGTGTCCCCACCAGAAAGCCCTCCCCATCTGCCACTTAAGATCGTAGAAACAGTTCAGAAGGGATCTAAGAGTGTCTAGCTGCCCGAGGCTGAGAGCATCCTAACTCCCACACTCAGGGCAAGAACTCCCACTACCTCCTTTGTCATGTCCCCTGAGCCAAAACAGTCAAAACAGCTGGGACATGAAAGATACCACCCTAAAAAGAATATGACTTGCCTGAGGTCAAAGGGCCAGGCAGAGGGGATGCGTTGAAGACACACTGGCGGTAGGTCCCATCCAGAAAACAGGAGGAGCAATAACTTAGCAAGCACGGGGAAGCTGCACACAGGGTCTGTACCTCTTTGCTCCATCAAGTGGGAGCACCCAGGCTTATTGCAGCCCTCGGGGCTCCAGAGAGTCACTTAACTGAGGTGGCAGGGAGTGAAGAAATGACAAAACACGGACACAAGAGAAAAGCTGGGATCAGGTGGTCTGGGCTCTCAGATGGAGAAGCTGTGACTCTGGAAGCTCGGCTTGTTTATTGTATACAGTTGAACAGGGAGGCGAGGTTAGCTGGTCTGCAGGGGCAGTCTCTACAGGGCAGTCTGTCTGTAGGGTAGTCTCTGTCTGTAGGGTAGTGGCTGTCTACAGGGCAGTCTTCAGACAATAAACTCTGCAGTGGGCATTTCCGCACACACCATCAACAGCCACACTTACACCAAAGAAAGGCTTTGCTGCGCCTTGAGCCTCACCTAAGGGGAAGGCATTGCCGATTTCCCATGAGTCTGAGGTTTTGGTCTTTGACGCGGCTGGTTCATGTCAACGGCACACATCCACTTGAGGATGTCACACACTTAGGGCACGCTCTGCTCCCCACAAAGGCTGAATTAGGGGTCTAGAGTTATGAGGACACTAGAACTTTGACAAATATGGACAGCTCCAAGCATCCAGCTTTGGGGGTCAAGCTATGGCATTATAGATGGACAGGGCTGGACCCAAATCCTAGCGTCTCTGCTTCCTAACTGTGTAACCTCAAGCAAGTGACTCCTCTTTGATCCAGATCGGTAAAGTATAGTCAGGAATGCCCATCAAAAAGGCTGCTGGGGGAGGGCCCTGGTGGACAGCCTAGGTTCTAAATGCGGTGACTGATTCTTGAGGTTCCCTGCACAGTCGGAGTGTGGAAGCCCATCCTGGCCTCCTCCTCAGAGTAAACATTCCTGAGAAGACAGCATCCGTGGCAGGGAAGCCTTCTTGCCAGCTCACCATTCTTATCATTCGCATATCTCTCCTAACTCTGGAAATGTACAGAACGTGCTGTCTAGAGCTGGACCACATCTGCCTGCATCTTCCCACCTCAGGCCCAGTGAGCCTGAAATGGAGGCAGTGTAGCCTGGGGACCAAGTATAGAGGCCCGAGCCATCTATGCATGTTTTTTTGTGGTGTGTGTGTGTGTGTGTGTATGTGTGTGTGTGTGTGTGTGTGTTATACATGCTGTTTCTGGGCAGTCAGAGCCTGTGGGAGCCCAAGTTACTCTAGAGCAGCCTTAAGCTGGAGCCTGCCATTTTTCTTCTGTAAAGCAAAAGGCCTTGTCTATCTCACTCCAAACAGAAACTGGAGGCGGAGTCCGGCTGCCTCCAGACCCTGACTCCATTACTCTTCCTGAGCCCACTCGCCTTCTTATTCTGCAGGACACAAGCTGTGCACGACAGGAGGGAGAGCCAAGTGGCTGTGGAAGCAGGTAAAGGTGGCAGGGAGATGACAATGCAAATCTGCTTGTCCAGAGTTCAGGGCAAGCTTTCAGAAGTCACCCAAGGCCCTCCTGGGGCTAGAAGACTTCCCCTCCAAATCCCCTCCACAGGTGGCACCACTCTCAGCAACCTTTGCAGGAGTCGTCTCAAAGGAGGGGGTGTGTGACAACAAAGGGTCCCAGGGCCCCCTCCCACCTCCCTGGACTGAAGGCAGAGGAGGGAAAGGGAATGGATGCACACCCCAGCACCCTCAACCCAAGTCTCAGGAAAACAGGCTCCCAGGAGCCTTGTCTGCCTCCAGCTCTGGGGTCACCATGGAAGAGTTGGTCCTCACAAGCCATCAAGGCATAACCCAAACTCACAGCACAGGAGAGAAACTCCAGGGACGGAACTCCAGAAATCCAGCCTCGGCTTGACCAAACACTGTGCAATTCACAGATTGGGATGTATTCCCAGCAAGAGCAGTTTATCAATGGTGAGTGGATCAATAAAGCAATGAATGTGAATCACTAACAGGGAAGTTCCCTGTAGGCTGAGGTAAATTCTAGCATGAAGGATATGTAAAGGCCTATGAACATATTTCTGAGTCAATCACTACATCAGGGACACTGGAGAGCCAATTCCTTTGAAGAAGTGATCCTCATCTGCTCAAAGTTGCCGAGTTAGTGCCTAGAATAGTTCCCTGAGCACACAGCCATGGTTTTGAATGAAGAGTGAATGAATGAATGATCATGGCCCCAGCCCTCAACACAAAGACCAAGAGGAAGGAAGCATGAAGAGAACACGCTACCGGAGCCCCACCCCCAGCCACCACACTCCTCACCATTTTTTTTTTAAATAATTTGTGGGTTGTTTTTAATTGTTGAGGCAGTAATACTTGGTTCATGAAACTGCAATATACAGAGAGGTGAAATAAATAGCTTATATATATAATATATATAATATAGCTGGTTTTAAAATATTCCCTTATCATTGGTGTACTAGGTCACGTGAGTCACGGAAGGTCCATAGCAGCATCCTCCAGAACCGCAGGCAAGGCAGGCCACCATGATTGGACGAGGCGTCTGTCGTCGGAAGATCGAGGCGCGGAGAATTCTCGGGGCGCCTTCCCTGCGCGGTGTCGCGGGACAGCTTGCAGTGGACAATAAATAAATGACTGCAAACCAGAGAGCGATTCTTGTTGGAGTCTAGGGCAGGAGGAGGAGTTGAGAGGGGGACTAGGGTGGGAGGAAGGGCTCGACTTTCTTTTTTTTTTTTTTCATTTTGTTTTTTTGGTTTTTTTTTTTTTTTTTTTTCATTTTGTTTTTTTGTTTGTTTGTTTGTTTGTTTTGTTTTGTTTTGTTTTGTTTGCTTTTAGAACCTTTGGGGAAAGGACTTTGGTTTCTCGCAGCGTCAGTTTTCTCATTCAAGTCCTCCTCTGGGGGATGAGTTTTGGACTGCCCCCTCGAGAGAGGCAAGCACCTATGGGTTGACAGCAGTCCCCTTGCGTGAGTACTTTGTCGTGGGGTTCAGGTCAACAGTGGAATCCTATTGCCCCTCCCCCCCAAAGACTTTAGGTTCAGTTTTTGTCTTCTTTTAAACACAATGTACAAAAATAGAGATTCTTCCTTATTTTTTTCATGTAAAAATATTCCTCTGATGTAGTTCTCTGGGGGTGAGTTTGGCCAGACCTAGCCGGGGTGAGTGGGGCGGATCCGCCGGGAACGCTTGGTGACTGTGGTGTACTTGAAGGGCTTCTGCAGCTCTGTCTGCCCCTTGGGGTAACGCTTCATGAAGTGCACATCTTGCTGGTTCTCCCGGGTCTTGGGACCCTTGCGAGGTCGCCCCTTCTTGGTGAAGCCCACGTACCAGCCCGAGTACTTGGCTGACATCAGGGCTGTGTAGTTGTTTTCCAGAACCTTCTCAATGAACACGCACTCCTTGCTACTGCCATCAGGCTGCGGGAGAGAGAGAAGGGGTGTCAGATAAAGTCGGGTCAGTGACCTCTGGTAAGCGTGCCACAGCAAACATGACTCACAACCACAGTGATGGCTGGGTACTGGGGGCCCACTGCACCAAGGTCCCCCCAAGTTTAGGAAAGCTTTGCTCAGCTCCCAACCTCATAGGCACCAGCAAAATATCGTTGACAGCCACAAAGCACGGAAGGCACAAGAGTAAACTGCCAGGGGAAGAGGCTGAAGACAGGCATAAGCCTGGTGGACATGGTGGGTGAGCAGATATCAAGAAGAGTTCTGCTTAAAACAAGCATTATAGAGATGGGCCTAGGAGAAATTTTAGAGTATTCAGGAGCCTGACTAAAGCCCAGCAGGAAGCCTTTGCCAAGAGGAGAAAATAGAGGAAAATAAAAGAAATTGGAGGAGCACAGCCCTGTGGAGAGTGCACAGGGTTCATGGTTGAGGCTGGGACAGCACAGCAGAGAGGGTCTAATATCTACTTCCTGATATACAAATAGCCCTTTGTCATAGGCCCCTACATCTTCCTCCATCTTCCACTCAGGGAGCAAAGTCCCCGTGTCTTGCAGAAATCCATTCCAACCTTACTCTCCTCCTTCAAAATAGATACAGGCTCCGTATCAACCCTATCTGAGCAAGAGACCTAGATCTAGCCAATCAAATGTGACCCAAGCCCACCAATCAGTGTGCAATGGGGGGAGGGGGAGTCAGCCACCAGTGCCCAAAATAAAACAAACAAAAAAGAAAATAGGTTTTACACTTGAGGTGTTTGTAAGGCTGAAATGAGGGAAGCCATTTTACCAACAGGAAGGGAAGCCTGCTGGGCAGCGATGCCAGCCACGAGGAAGCGAGGCCAAGCAGGAGAATGAAGGAAACAACCAGGGCCTGGTCACATCTCTCGGGCTCCAGATGCAGCTGCATCTGAAGTTCACGTTACCTCACCGCCGTGTGGGCCAACAATGTCTCATTTCCTCTAACTCAGCTGATGTTTTAGTCTATCGTTTGTAAGAGAAATGGGTCCTGGCAGATCTGCACAAAATCTGACGTTAAGTCAGCTACTCGACTCTTCTGCGACACAGTTCAACACAAACTGCACTCGATGTGGGATGTGGCGTGCTTCAGTACTTGGTATGAAGCAAGCTGGGAGCCTCCAAAAATAAGGCAGAGCACAGCCAAACTCCACAGGCTGTGTAAAGGGGCTCTGGGGTCTCAGTTTCCTGAGCAGATGTCTCGAGAGACTAGGTGTCAAAGGGCACTGACTCTGGAGCCAAAAGCCAAATGAACTCTAGTACATCCTGTGACCTCAGGCTGGCCAAGTCCTTGCTCCAAACCTCAAATTCCTCACCAGGCAAAAGAGTACAATGACTTAGGTCTGTGTCATCAATACACAAGACGAATGACACTTGGGAAGGAGTCTGACACTCTCCAGGGGACTCTCCAAGGGGTCTCGCAAGATCAGGTGGCTCTGCTGGGACTGCCCTGAACCAAAGATGGGGACACAGGCTCGCAGCCTCCTTCTGGAGCCATGATTGCTCGATGGGAGAGAGTGGGAAACACAGAGTTGGATGGGCTGGCTTAGCAGCGCAAGTTTCCAGCTAACATCTCCAAATTTAGGCCGGGCCCACTCCTCGTTCCGGACGGCTTCCCAGCCAAGTTGGAAGCCCAGCGGTCTGGCTGTGTGTGGAGACTGAGGTGTGGGTTCCAGCCCTTTGTTTGAAGTGGAAAACTGGCCCGGGCTTCCAGGGACATTCACCTTTGAGAGGAGGGCAAGCCTACTCCCTGCAGACAGAGTGCTGAACTCTGCAGAAAGGCTGAGAAATGCCCTCTTTTGAGACGGCTGAAGGACAGACAGAGGGCAGGTTCAAGACACACGCCATACCCAGAGGAAAGCTTGGGTAGCCACTGAAGTAAGACTGTTAGAAAAGAAGGCAGAAAACACACGTAAGGCAGGCTGCAGCAAGAGATCTCTGGGTTTCCAGTCTCCCGTGGAAAGGTCTAGAAGTTCCTCGTCTAACTCTGCATGATCTTCACCAAAGCCAAAGCAGCCTGAACAAAAGTCAGACACCACCATTCTGTCTCTGCCCTTCAAAGCTCATCTCTGCAACTACTACCTCTGGGAAGCATGCCTTGATGGCTGCTCATCTCTATGGGCAATTCCTTCACTTCATCAAGAGGCAATGGTCAAGCTCAGGTGTAGCCTGCTGTTAGCCTCTTAGCCTTTCTGGCTGAGTCCATAGTGGAGAATCTCTGTTCATCAGATGTTTCACCGCTGGGTCCCAAGAGCCCCCTCTGCACCCTGATGTATTAGAACCAACCCAGAGCCCAGTTTCTTAGCCCTTTGAAGTAGGTTTTAGAGAGGTACTGAACATCCATGCTTAGAATTTTCCTTGTTCACACACTCCATATCTGGAAGTCCCTGGCTCCCTACTTCTCTCCTACTCCATGCTCTCAGCAGAATAATTCTACATCCACCTGCTTCCTCCTCAGTCCAGGAGCTCCCTGACACCAGGATTGCTGCTGACTTACTCTAGGAGCTGAGCACAGACCCTAACCTAAAACAGGGTCTATGTTCAAACAAACGAGGGCCTTACCAAGATGGGTGAAAGTGAAGAGTCTCTGAAGCCCTGACAGTGTCTCACAGATGTCCCTCCAGGAGGACCAGAGGTTCAAGCAGACAGAACAAGCTGAGCGCTTGAGAGTTCTATTCATCCACTTGGTCTCCCCACTCACTCATTCAGTATCTATTGATTGCTGACCACAGGCCAGACATTCCCACATCCATTATGTCATTCCACCCTTTTAAGCCACTGAGATTCACTTTACCTCGAGAAAGGAAACAGCTAAAAGAGACGAACGAGCTTGCCCAAGGTCATGGCACTAGAAAACGGGTCCCTAGCACACTCACCTCACATCCAGTTCTAGAGAAGTCCCTGGAGGGAAGAGAGGAGGCAGAGTGACTGATGCCTCCCCAAAACTCACCTCCCACAGAGCCATGGTGGACGGACACAAAGTAAAAGGTTGAGTGTGGCACAAATCAAGTATGCAGGCTCAGTACATGTCAATGTTTACTTCAGAGGACTCTGGACTGGTTCCAACAACCCAGGGCACAGAGGGGCTCTTGGGAACCAGTGGTGGAGCCTCTGATGAGGAGAGATTCTCTGTCATGGACTCAGCCAGAAAGGCTAAGAGGCTAACAGCAGGCTGCACCTGAGTCTGACCCTTGTCTCTGTTTCTGACCCCTTCCATGACCCTTAAGTCACCTATAGTTACATTAAAAAAAAAAAAAAAAAAAAAAAGTCAATGCTTGGGCCCCACCTCTGCTGAGGAAGGCAAGCAGGGGCATCAATTTTTAGAGAGCAACCTGGCACTCCCAAGCCTTGGAAGGTTCATGAAAATCAGTCCTCTCCTCCATTCCCGCCTCCCACTCCCCCTTACTTCCAAAAAGAGCCATAGCCTTTCCATGTGATTCCAACTCTGATAACATCACTAGATCACACCTCAACTAACACCTAGAGGGTTTTCATGGGTTTTTGGTTTGTTTGTTTGTTTGTTTTGTTTTTTGTTTTTGTTGTTGTTGTTGTGTTGTTTTGTTTTGTTTTATAAGCTCTTTGGGGGGGGAGTGGGGGAGGAGGGGAATCTCCTTCTGTTTTCAGTAACTTGCAACCAAAATGGTCTTAAACACCTACCCAGAAAGATTCTGAGGCCCTATTGCTCCCAAAAGGTCAGGCAGGGGCAGATGAGGAAATTCTGATTAGCATGTGAGGAGAAGAGATGCTCAGCAATTCTTTCTGGACCATGCTACCTTCTGGCCAAGTGGATCTGGTTCAGAGGAGTGGCCAGGAGCAGGCTAACAGCCATGCACGGCTCCAAGACAGACAGAGGGAAGGACTCTGGCCAACAGCTAGTGCATATGAAATAGCTGTTCTCAGGGCCCAATGCATGACCCCTGTTCAAGGGTGGCACCTATAATGCACAGGAAAGAAGAAAGTTTCTGTGGATATGGAAGTGGTGTCAAGTCCTGGCTTCAGGCTGAGGGTGTAGCTCAGCCCATATAGTACCTATCTGACATGCACAGAACTCAGGGTGCATTTTCAACACCCTGAGGAGGTTGCACATGCTTCTAGTCTCTGCACCCAGGAGGTAGAGGCAGGAGGATCAGGAGTCCAAGGTCATCCTTGGCTACATAAGGAATTCCAGAGTCCCAGAATAGCCTTGGCTGGAGGAGACTATGTCTCAAAAATAAATAAAGTAAGTAAAACAAACCTATCTTCAAAGGGGAAGGAGGAAGAGATTAACAAGTCAGGCAGAGCCTGCTTAAATGCCAGCATGAGTCCCCCTTACAAACAAGGCCCCAAGATTCAGTGGGCCAGGGTATCTAGGGGGCCAGAGTACCAGGCTCCCTGGCATCATTCATGCAGGAGGCTGAATAAAGAGCCAGTGTCCCAGCCTCTTTCCTGCTTCTGCATCCCTCAGGCTCTGCACGAGCTCCCAGCTGGGAGGAGAATACAGACCTGAGGAGAAGAAGGAACATCGAGGTGAGCAAGGGCAGCCACAGACAGCTGAGAGAGGGCAGCGAGCTAGCTAGGGGTCAGGTAAGTCTAGCAACCACTGAAGATGAGCCAAGAAGGGTCCATGCAGAGAGCAGGATAGGGCCAGAAGGGCTCGTGCACAAAGCCCTAAATCCATTTCTAGGGGATGGGTGGGAGCAGTGTAGAGAAGCTGCCTGTGGCATAGGTTTCCAGGAGTGTGGAGAAGCCCCCCTGAGCCCTAAGCTGGTCCAGGAGAAGGAGAGAATCAGCTGGGGCCTGAAGCCTCCCGAGCAGGCAAGGAGGGTTGGAAAGGGCTAAGGGCAGGCTAAGTTGGGCTAAGTTGCAGGGAGGAGACACACCCAGCCATCAAAGAAGGGACTCCCCCACACAGCCTGGGTGAGCAGGGAGGGTATCCTCAACAGCACAACAAAAGCATGATTCCCACCCCACCCAGCACAGGTGGATGGGGGCCACCAAGCCTCTGAGCCCAGAAGGGTGTTGGAAGCAGTTGGGCTGGAAGGAGAGTTCAGAGATGGAGGCAGGGGACCAGGCCTGCTTCACTGCATTGCCTTGAGCCAGCTGAACCGTCACCAATATTAATGATGGGAGAGAGGGCAAGGGGGCAGGAAATCGGAGCCGGCTCCTGTGGAAGCGGTGACTCAGCGGCCAGCCGGCAGGAGGCTGACAGGGCTGCAGCCAGAGGGGACTGGGAGCTCTCCTGACCCTATGATGGCACTCCTGGGGGGTCAGGATGCCGGGAAGAGCGCAGGCGGGAGGCGGCACAAGGCAGCACCGGGTGGCGTGGACACTGGGCACAGAGCGAGCAAGGGGGAAAACCGAGTCTCAAAGTCAAAGCAGGTTGGTCTGGGAGGAGGCCCAGACGGGCAGGAGAACAAAGCGCCTGACAAGGGGCTGGGCTGCAGCCGCAGGAAACTACTGGCCAAGATGGGCCAGGCCAGACCAGGGGACCAGGCACCCGCCCCTGCCCGCCGTCCCAGCCACTGAGGGACCCCCTTGGCCTGCCTGAGCTGCCGCCGACGGAAAGTGAATCACTAATTGAAACCACTCCTGGGCATCCCGACGCTCTTCGGGATTACTATTATTTTGCAGCTTGGGTTGGTATGGGTGTGTGGCTGGAATCTTTCCCCTCCAAGCCCAGCTTTGAATCCTACCTAGCACTAGTATGGGACCTGAGACAAGAGCCCAGAGATGTGGACAACCCTCAGCTTTTCCACCTGTGAAATGGGTATGATAGTGGTGCCAACCTGCCAAAATTATCTGCAATTATTCTTTGACCGATGCCTGGGAGACAGCAGGAATTCAATTAAAGGAAGCAGTCATTATCTAAGTGAGAATTCCTTGGTCCTCAGTCCAAGGATAAGGGGACAGAGGGCAGAGCTAAGGACTTAAGAAATCAAGAACTGTCTCAACAAGACCGACCCTGACAAGCATACTGAAACCAATTTCCCGAGACCCTGTTCCTCAGCAGAGGTCCACTGCCCATGCCACCTGTCCAGACTGACTGCGCCCTCAGTTCAAGCATATAATCTGGGAGACTCATCACAGAGAGCAGAGGACACAGAGGTGACATCACTATAGAGCTACTGTGAGTGACATCTTCCTCTTGAACCCTTGGGAGAAACAAGCCCATGACCTTCACGTGAGGATATAGAGATAAAGGGCAGTCTTCAGGGAGCATCCAAGCCCAGCAAGTAGTGTACCTGCGTGCACACACACACACACACACACACACACACACACACACACTCACTCTCTCTCTCTCTCTAATATGTCACATGCACCTCTCTGGCCTGTTCCAAAGTAATAAAAATCTTCCTGAGCTGCTAGAACCCAGCTCTGGGAGTGAAGGCTTCCGGAGGTGGCTGCTGCTGCTGCTGCAAACCAACTCCAGGTGACTGTTAAAATGCTCCCTACAGTCACAGCTCTGGGGCCGCAGGTTCCCTGTTCCCAGACACCAGGAGCACCAGTGAGCTAGATGCCTCAGGATGCCACATCCTTCCCCAGTGGAAGCCACGGCTCTGTGGCACCAAGTGACAACCATAAGTATACCTCAGCCTGTCTGCTGCAGGCATCAAAACAAAAACCATGGTGACAGGATGAGAGGCCAGCGGGTGCTTCTCTCCCTCATCCAGATACACGCCACACCTGTTTCCCGGTAGGGCAAAGAGGACCCTGGGTATCTTTGCCAGTTTTCCAGATCTGGCCGAACTGGACCCACCAAGTACCCAGGACGTTATCACTCACCTTCCCCACGAGCTTGCCTTTTCGGTTCATACACAGGTAGAACTCCGTCTCCTTGCCCTTGATCCGGACTTGACTCCCAAAGGTATCTGTCTCCACTAGGAGCTGGGCTTCGAAAGGCAGAAGGAGAGTAAGACAAGCTTTTTAACCAGAGGCAGTGGTAAAGACCCAGAAACATGCTCTCTGACCTTACCCCTGGTCCCTCCCTTCCCCAAAGTCAAGCAGAGGGGAGGGACACTGTCCCCTCTTTACCCATAATCTAGTCTGTCTGTGGCCCTTCCCCGTTGTGCACCTCCCAACCCCTCCTTTCCACTCCCTAAGTGGGACCAACAGTCATTCAGAATACCTGAAGAAGTAACCAAGGGAACACACACACACACACAGCCTTTGGGAACTCACGCCCGTTCCGCTCAAAAGTTAGGTCAAATGTCCTTTTCCCCAAGGGCAAAAATATCTGTCACCCCTACTAATTCAGTTTCGGCACCTTGACCCTGGCCATGTGACACCGGAAGACGGGAGGTGAAGGTGCCATACCCCATATTCAGAATCTCCCTCCCCCTGACTGAAGCCATCAAAACCAAAGGGTAACTAACTTTCAAGAGCACAGAGGTCTGATCAGGACCCAGGTCTCCACACCCAGGACTGGAGCCCATCCATGCCTACCTCAGCATCAGGAGGGGGTTGTCCAAAACCGCTTCCCCCAACCCCTAGCAGACAAGGGCATCAGTGACCTGCTTCCTTCTGCCAGGCTATATTTTCCCCTATAGTAGTCAGTGTGACTTGAGGTGAGCTCTCACTCCTCTCTGCCCTTGAACCCCAGCGACCCATTCTCCATTACCATTTCCCTTCCCTGTGGCTGTTTTCTTTGGCTGTGACCCTTCCCTTCCAGCACCTGCCCCTCCCTCAGCTAAAAAAGTTTCACTTCGGTGACAAGGGACCTGCTTCTCCATAACAAAATCATAGCCCCAAATTCCTGAGTACAGTATCCGTGGAGCCGCAAGGAGTGTACCTCGGTGCCCCTAAAATACACTAGGTATGATTTTAATAAAAAACATTTACAAATATAGGCCCTGGTGCCCTGCTGTGAAAATTGAAACCACCTGGAACTTAGGATTTCTATAATTAATCTAGCCCTCCTTTGACACCACTTCTAATTAAAATATGATTCCCACTTTAAAAAAAAAGAATTTACATAAAATTTAAAGACCTAACAAGAATTTTGTAATTCTGGGAGCAAGGTGGGGCACATTCTTTTTTCCGCCTTCCCCCACCCCAAGGAAACACTGAGTTAGGAACAGGAACAAGGTCTTGATGCACTCTGTTTGCCCTCATTCAAACTCCTTGTCCTTTTCTCCACTCTGTCACAGTGGCTCCCCAGCCTGCTCTACTGCCTCCTAGCAACGATCAGGCCTCCCATGTGAGAAAGTTCTAGCAGTTTCTATGGGGGCTGCGTGTATGTGGGGAAGGCAGGAGTCTGGTGTGCCTAAATATGGACTTGATCCCTGGGCTCTACTTGACTGACTTCTGTGTGGCCTTGGGTAGCCACAGGGTCTTCACCAGTGAAATGGGAAAACTGTCCTGACTCCTCAACAGGGCCTGGGAGGCCTGCAGCATGAGAGTGCCCTGTTCTAGAGGTCCAGAGGGGAAACTCACTGACCTTCATTTTAAGTTTTGTAAAAGCTACAAAGCTGAACCTTTCCTGAAAGAAAAGGGAGCCCAGAGGCCGAGACCACACGTGCCTTCTCATGAGAGCAGAAGGGAGCCTGCTTCCCGAGGCCCTGCCTTCTGCTCTAAACCCGTTCAGCCTTCTCCAGGCACAGGTATCCCACACCAGATAGGACATCTGAGAGTGCTCACTGGCCTGTTACTATCCCACACTGTGTAACTTGAACCCTGAGTGGATCACCACACCCCTCTCTAAGCCTCAGTTTCCTCCCTGGTGCAAGAGGTTTCTAGAACCCTAGATGGAGGGAGTCAAGCCTGGGAGAAGGCCAGACTCTACCGGAAGTAGGGAGAGTATCATTAATGGAAGAAGCATTGGGGAGAGGGCCCAGGAAACCGCCACCCAGTGATGGGGGCTGCTCTGTCTACCTCCTCCCAGCACATGTCCTCCTCTGTGCAGAAGATCTCCTTCCACACAATACAATTAAAGCCCCACCCCAACATACACATGAAGTAAGAGGCCCTTTTCCTCACTTTTTAGGGTAAGCCAGTGAGATGCCCACCAATAGCCCAGCAGGAGAACTAACTGCAGGGTTGGCTGGCTCTGAAAGCCACTCCTAACATTGCCCCACCTCTCAGCAACCAGGACCCTGACCCCACCCACACGGACTCCTCAGGGTGGGTGTGGATATCCAAAGGGCCTGGGGCAGAGGCTAGGGCTTCAGTTCAACTCCGCCACAGGCTTGGCCAACTCCATGCAGCCTGGGGAAGGTCTGGGCCTAGCCACTGGCAGTCTGTTCTTCCTACCCACAGCATTCAATAGAGTGACCTAGACTCCACTCAGAGGGTGACATAATGAGGAGGGAGCCAGGCCAGAATTATGTAAAGTCTTTGGGGAGTAATAGACCAGCAGCAGCAGGAGAAAAAGAGGACAGAGACTCCACCCAAGCTAGGTTTGCTCCAGAGTCTTCCTGGTCCTCCTCGCCCTCCACCCCCTTCTCTGAGAGCCAAGCTCCAAAGATGTGGCTCTTAGGAGCCAGAAGCCTCGGCTTGGTTCAGTTCCATTGGCAGGGCCTGCAGCTGGCCTAGGGGATGACATTATCTCGCTGCCCCTCCCCCTCCAGCCTGTATAGCTCAACCGCCACCTCCCTCCACTACTCTTGCCCTCACCAGTCTACACACACACACACACACACACACACACACACACATCAGCCCGAAGCATCCTTTCAAAATATCAATTTGAAGATGACAAATTGTTTCCATCAGTAAAATAACGGCCATGTTACTTAGAGAAAATCCGAACTCTTCATTGGAACTCACCTCATCTGCCCCCTTCCCCTGCCCTCACCCCCTGTTGTCCCTCCTTCCTAACTTCCCTCTCAACCTGCCAAGCACATTGACTCCCTTGGTATTACTCTGACACACTCTGAACCTAGCTCCTGCTGCAGGCCCTTTGTGTTTGCTATTCCTTCTGCCTGGAGGCTGCTTTGTCCAAACCTTCTCATCTCCCAGGTGGCCAAACATCATCTCCTTAGAGATGCTGTGGTCTGAATAAGAAGGGTCCCCATAGGCTCATATGTTGGAAATGATTAGTCTCCAGGCAATGGTATTTGAAAGGATTAGAAGGATTGGGAGGTGTGGCCTTGTTAGAGGAGGTGTGGCCTTTTTGGCAGAAGTGTATCACTGTGGGTGGGCTTTGTGGGTTCAAAAGCCCATGCCAGGCCCAGCCTCTCTCTTTTTCTCTCTCTTCAGATCAGGAGGTAGCTCTCAACTACTTCTCCAGCATGCCTGCCATAAGCATAATGGACTAAACCTGTAACACTGCAGGCAAGCCTCCAGTTAAATGCTTTCTAGTAAGAGTTGCCTTGGTCATGGCAATAGAACAGTGACCACAGCAGATGCCTTCCCTGACTGTACTGTCTGATGTTGGCACCACCTTCCCTAACCCAGCACTCTCTGAGCACATGCCACATTCCAACACTCTCTTTTATTTTTTCTGTGCATTGTTGTTGGGTCTGTGTGTTGGATTCCCTGAAACTAGAGCTGCAAGACAGTTGTAAACCCCATGTAGGTGCTGGGAATTGAACCTGGGTCCTCTGGAAGAGAAGCCAGGGCTCTTAACTGCTGATCCCAATATTCCAGCATTCTAAAAAAAACTGTTTGTTGCTATTATTTGGATCTTAAATGTTCCCTCAAGGCCCACATGGGAGGCTTAGTGGCCTACCTACAGCATTACTAGGCCCTTTCAGATGTGGGAGGAAGTTAGGCAGCATGCCCATCCTGTCTCTCTCTTCCTGCTTCCCAGCCATCACGAGGTAAGCCTCCTCAGACCATGACATTCTGCCTTACCACAAGCTCAGACATTTTGTTACAATAACAGTAAGATAACAGAATGTCACCCTTTCCGTACAGGTAATCTCCATGAAGACAGGAAAAGCTCTCCTTACTCCTCATTGCCTTTTTTTTTTTTTTAACATCCAGCCCAGGCCTGACTCCTAGTAAGTGGTCACTAGTTAAATTATAGTAAGTATACTATATACTTACTATATATATAGTAAATATACCACACGGACAGCCTTGTGAGGTAGGCAATAACTAATATGATTCAAGAGCTGAAGGAAGATTCGGGATGGGGAAGGGACATGCTACGGAGTACATAGTTGGTGATGACAAGTTTAATCAGCCTCTTATTCAATGTGCTTCATCACTCTATTCCCTCCTGCTTTGACCCAGGGCTGGACTCAGGCCATAGACAGAAAAGGAGAAGACTCCCCAAACCCTCCAAGGCGAGTGAAGGGCTGGAAGAAAGCTCTTTCTAGAAAGCTTCCTATTGTCTTTTTCCTTCTGCTTCTCTGGAATGACTGGCAAATAAACATGGCACCAGTAGCCAGACTGGGAGGTCGAGGCAGGAGACTCACAAGTTCAAGGTTCACCTGAACTAAAAAATAAGGGAGACTAATAATAACAGCCAATATCCATAAAGTGTACCGTGGGGAGTCTGAACACGGAATGTCTCACTGTCTCACAGCCCTGTGAAGCAGGGACCAGGATTGCAGTTTACACGTGAAGACGCTGAGGCCTTCAGCTGGCAAAGCTGCAGTCACTTGCCCAGAACACACAGTGGGAACGTTAAAACAAGTGGCAACTCTAGAACTCACCAAGCTGCATGGGCAGAGTGAGGGCACACAGTGTGGGCCTCAAATGGCAAGAAGGGACTAGCGGCCATGATGGATGGATGGACACTGAAGTGTAGGTCCCCCGCTGGCCCCACCAAAAGCAACTTAGGGCCTCTGCTTTTAGACTCTGGGTTTCAAGGGTAGGAGGTGGTGGGGGAAGGCAGAGGCAGTGGAGGCAGAGGGACTTGGGAGCCTGCTTCAGTGGGAGGCAAGTCAGAGAGTAAAACCAATATGGGTTAGATCTCCCTGTACCCAGGAAGATCCCTCAGGAGCTTTTCAGAATGCGCGCGTGCACACACACACACACACACCAGAAAAAAGCTGGGCAGGGCCCTCTGCAGAAGTGCATGAGGGACTTCCTAACACATTCCCACACCACAGAGCTGTTGGCTCCTATCCAGACAACATCCTCCCACGGGGAAAATGTCCTTGCCTCCAAAAGCACTCAGAGGTCACCTCTTCAGCTATCCCTTCCCTTTGAAGGTGGGCTAGGTGACATGAAGCAGAGAGGCGGGGGCTCCCTTCTGGAGCCATTACCCTGTTGCTGATACACATACATGCTCAAGTGCCCGGAATTCCCCTTTTCCATATGTCCCTGAGGAGGTCTGCAGGCCACATAGACTCACCAGAAAGGACCAGGGGAAGAAAAGAAATCAATAGGATTGATCAGAAGCTATATTGAATTCTGGCTGTAATTCTAACACAGTCCTTTCAACACGGGATCTACAAGATGTGGGTGGCCACTGCTCCCTGGGGACAGAGACAAGGACAGAGAGGATGGGAGGCTTAAGCTGAGATGCAAAGACTCCATCGCAGAAGAGAGAGCTCTTAGGGGAAGCCAGGTCTGTTCATCTTAGTTTTCTCAAGGCTAAAACAGATGGGAAGAAGGGAGAAGGGCTTGCCTGAGCACTGGACCAGGTACCTCCTGGGTATGGAAAAGGCTTCTTGCCCTGATGTCCTGGGGCAACTAGCTTATCCCCAGTCTCAGGTGTACACTGGGGGTGCCCTTGCACTGTGGCAATCCTGATCACCTCCCTGTGGCTGCCTCTGTATTCTGGCGAGGGAACAGCACACATAACCCCAGGCGCCCAGAACCTCCTGAGCATAGCGCACAAGAAGAGGTGGTACAGCCCCCTGAGATTGTGGGGGGATGGGAGTGTCTCACAAGCAGAACTGTCCCAGGTCTCTGGCTGATCCAAGGGCTTGGGTTCTAAGTGGCATAAGTCTTTGAACAATAGAGTGACATTTTGGACTGGTAGACAGGAAATGGCCCAAGGGGTCAGACTCAGAGACTCAGGCTATAAGAATAGGTACCTCAGCCTCAGCCATGTTAGCTGCTCCATGGAACCTTGCTCTGTGCTCAAAGCACCTTCCAGAAAGTATTAGGATGAAGAAGCAGCAAGATCAGAGGGCAGACAGACCAGGGGTCCTGTACCCAGCAGAGGCCAGTCTTAGACAACAGACCCAGAGCTGAGATTCCAGGTGTGCACTTGGCATCTGTCATACTTCTTGCTCAGCAGATGACACAAGGCCGTGTGGTCAAGTGGGTACCGAAAGTCTCTGGGGACCAGACCCAGCCCCGAGACAGCAAAGCAGATTCTGAAGTGCCCTGTGTCCCGCTGCCCCTCCCCCCAACAAGGCAGCTCCTGGTGCAAAGAAGCAGCCCATCCCTCCTGCCCTGCGTGGTCACATAAATCACCCTCCCAATAATATTTGTATTGATCATCTAGATTGGAAGCCTCAGTGGGCTCCATTGTCTCACTTCCTCTCCCAGGGCTCACAGATGGGGTCTCCCAGACTCATCTGCGTTTCTAATGGGACATTCAAATGGAACAGCAGCAGCCTGCAAGGCCCCATGCTGCCCTGGGTGTTGGGGGGGGGGGTGGAAGATCATGTAAACATGTTCCTCGAGAGGGCCAAGAGTTTTTGAAGACAGAAGAGCAGCAAGCCAGGCTGATTCTAGAAACCCAAAGCAGGCTTCCATCAACAGCACCTGGGCGCTGGTCGGAACCTCATTGGCTCAGACTGCCCCCTGACCCATGAGTCTGCGAGGGCATCTAGACAGGACCACTCTCCCAGAAAGCCAAGTGCATGTGGCTAATCCAAGCCTGGAACTGGGGACAGAGAAGGCAGAGTGCTGGGAGAAGATCACAGAGTGGCCCAATTGAGGCAGAGAAAAGTCAGAAGGCCAACAGCCTCTACAAAGAGGGTGAACCCTGATGGCTCCTCTCCCTCCCCAGTCCCTGCCTCCTATGTCAGGGTGTGGACAGATGGCTCAACCAGAGTCTGACCCCCCCCCCCCCGTAGTACTCTCCAGCCTGGAGGGGCCAGTGTGAGCTCCCGGGACACTCCAGGAGGGCACCTCCTCCCGCCTAGCCAGCCAGCTGCCCCTTTCCTGGCAGCACTGGGCAGAGGATCCCACGGAAAACTAGCACCTGGGTCTGCCCTGCACAGCCCAGCATCTGGGGTGCCCCCCACAAGAGCCAGGGGGCCTGAAACCTGTGAGGAGAAGAGACCATGGGGAAGGAGATGAACCAAAAAACAAAGAGGGAAAAGGGTTCGAAACAGGAATGGGAGAAAAGAAGAGGATCCATAAGGAATAACTGTGCAGGAAGAAGCAGGGAAGGAGGCAGCTGGCCTGGAGGTGCTGGGGCCCAGGATCCAGCCCAGGCCGCCCAGCCTGGCCCAGCCCCCAGTGTGGTGCAGCTGCCTCACTCAGGGCCCTACCATGAGGTCAGTCCTGCCCTGGGGCTGTGGGAAAATAAATGGTGTCCAAGATAAAAGGTCCAAGAAATTATTTGTCTTGTTGTCACGTCCTGATGGCAATGGGCAGGGGCCAACGGGGCACCATCCCAGAAAGGCTAGCAAGGATGGCAGGCTCGGCACACATGCAGGACCCTGTCCCCAGCCACTACCTCGAGAACCTGGGCCCAAGTAGGCAGAAACTGAGGATGGGTGCATCCCAGAGATGGCCAAGGACCAGGAGGCCTCCTGGCAGTCCCGAGCCTTTCCTGTCTAGCAATTTTAAATAAAATATCTGCGTGTTAAGTGTTTGCCTAGCATCTGTCTTGGCTGAATGCTCTCCAAAGGGCTAAGGAGGTGGAGTTATGTCTGCTCTGTTCATTGCCCAGGGCTTTCAGGGGCTGGGACTTAGAATCCCAGGGTCCCTTTTCTGAGCCTCTGCAGCAACAGAAGGGGTGTAAGGTTTCCTCAGCCCTCCAGGAAGACTGAGCTGTTCCCAGGTCAAGGGAAGATCACAGGGCCCTGGTCCCAAGTTGTGAGTAAGCATGTCTTGTGGGTGTACAGCTTCAAGCTTAAACACACACACACACACACACACACACACACACACACACACACACGTGCACATTTGCATACACACAGATGCACACTCCCACATGCATTCATGAAGATGACTCCCACGGCCTCCAAAGCGTCCAGAGAGCATGGCCAGAGGCTTCCACCCCTCAAAGCAGCTGAGCCTGGGCCAGAGGGAACTGTGGTGCAAGGTGCAGCCACTGACATTTGGATATTCCCGCCTAAGCCACCACCTAGTGGGACACTTTTTATCAAGTTCTAGCTTCTTAAAGAGGCAGTAACGCCTCCCCATTTTACAGGGAACGTGAGGCCCAGGAGGGCTACTGCTAGGTCCAACACCATGTATCTGGCACAATACGGAGCTGGGATCTGAATGGGGACTCTCCAAGGCTGGGGAGAGTGTGTGCAAGGGGTACGGATAGGGTCTGGCACATACCATACTTGTCCCCGTCCTCGCCACGGGCACTGATCCTACGGCCCAAGACTTGAATGTGCTTCCCGCTGGTCCTGCTGTAGAGCTGGTACAAGCGCAGCTGCTTCCGACTCACATCATCTCGCGCCCGCGTCTGGTTCTCCACATGGATGCGGAAGTCCACGTTCTCCTCAGCCGCCAACACCTATGCAAGGGGAGGGGAAATGGTAAGAGAGAGCCCTGTCTCTGCTCTGCACCCCCCTCAGGCCAGGCCCCACTTCACAGACACCGCAGCCGAGGTAGCTGGGAAACCGTGAAACGGTTGGGCCTGGGTATGCATATAGCTCTCGGCACCCGCGCACACCTGGTGTTTTCTGTGATCTCCGCATGCAGGTTGCTCTGCCTCGGTTTCCCTTTCAGTACAGAGACACCCTCCCCCCCATCCCAATTGCATCTGGGACTGCAAGGTGCCCCTGAGCAACTAGGCTGAGATCTGACATCCATGGGACTGCCGGGAGACGCAGGGACACACAGCAAGGAAGGGATGGAATGAGAAATCTCAAGTACTGGCCAGTGGGCGGGAGTGCAGCATGCCACCTCCCCCAGACCTCCACAGGGACCCGTCACACTCATACCACGGCCCAGGCCCGTGTCCCAGTCCTCTGGTTTCTATCCCCATTGTAAGTCCATGGACCTCGCACCATTTAAATCCCATCAAGAAGGCCTCCCATTTAAATCCACTGGGAGGCCTTCTTAGGTTGCATCCACATTCACTGCTCCTTTCCCTCATCAAAAGTACAGCCGCCCACCTGAACAGTCTGTGCCCATCCTGCTCACCCTCCTCCATTTTTGCCCTGCTAATAACCCATCCTCCACTCAACAAAGCCCATCCTCCCCGTGCACACTCCTCAGGGATTCCTCACACTCAAACAGCAGTCCTTGCTAGGGCTTCCAATCCCGACCAGTAGCCCCTGATGCTTCCTTCCTCCTCCTCCTCCTCCTCCTCCTCCTCCTCCTCCTCCTCCTCCTCTTGTTCCTCCTCCTCCTCCTCTTCCTTGACAGCCATACTGCTTTACCTTTAAAGGCTCTGGAACCTTTCTAATACTCAGCATACACCAACCTCAGGCCCTTTCCACGGGCTCTTTCTTCTGCTCTGATGCCCTTTCTCGGCTGTCTACACTCATTTCCCTCAGGTCTCTGCCCACTATCACCTCAAACAGGCCTCCTTGGATGGCCCTAGCCCTGACACTCTCCATGCTACCACTCTGCCTTGAGGTTCTTTCTAGCACATGTGACTCGATATACCATCTACATACTCAGCTTCTGCTGGTCTGCTCTGAATATGCTGGCGGTACCATGGAAGCCAGTGTGTGCTTGCTCTCTCTCTCTCTCTCTCTCTCTCTCTCTCCTGAGCTAGCAGCACAGACACCCAAGCGCTTGTTCAACAGATGAGTGAGTGAGTGAGTGAGTGAATGAATGAACGAACACATAAAGTCCTGCCATGCCATTAAGCACTGAGTAATATTTACCAGGGCCTGCTAGTTAGATCCCATCCCATCTTATAAACCAGAACAGGTACCGAAGCACAGTCAGCATCATGGGTTTGTTCTGTGGACTCACCAAGTCTGGCACAGTGCCAGCACACAGGACCCCAGTCCCAGGAAAGCATCACCCACTCAACCTTTACTAGAGCTCTCTGGACCCCGGCTGCCCAAGCATGCCTCTCAGCCTCTCACTGTGCCTCAGTTTCTTCACAATGAACACGATGAAGACAGCATCCACCTCAGGGGTTGCTACGAAGACTAAATGGCAAAAGGCAACAGGGCAGCTACTTCCACAGCTGAGCAAACACCAGGACTTTTGACAGGACTCCAAAGTGAAGCTCAGCAGAAATCGAGGTTCACAAATGTCCTCTCCGCAACCACTATGTGCCTCCCTCCATTTCTACCAGCGAGACGGCCAGCCCATAGTACCAGGAACTGCCTCTCTTCCGGGACATCCAGGGAGGAAAGAGCCCAGGGCCCTGGCGGCCCATACCTGGAGGGCATTTTTTTTTCTGGAAGACCCCACACTTGGGGCCATTGACCTTTCTGGAATGATTCCTGGAGTCAGTTTAGTCCTGTCCCCTCCCCGAAAGTAGGCACAGTATCCCTGTCCTCCATCACTCCTGCTCTCACAGGAGTCTATTGACTAGAGGTCAAGCCAATCTCCTCACCCCCAGTTCCCATGGGGCGCTTCCCTGCCCCAAAAGCTGGCTTTCTATTAATGATTTTCTTCCTGGCGCACTGGACAGAAGCAGTGGGGTGACCCAGGGTCAACAAGGTCTATTGGGTGGCCCTGCACCAGGATGTGGGGATATAATCCATCTTGCCTAGCTTCCACCACTTCAACCATGCTCTGGCCAGGTCAATCCCTAGGGAAATGGCGGGCGGCCTCTACAGGAAACTGGGGCCTGTCTTCTAGAAAGGATGGATATCCTATCAAAACCTTTGCTGGGCTCAGGGCACCGGCCCCTTCTACCTGCCATTAGAAGCCTCCTCCAGAGATGCCCTCCCGACACTGCAGGATTTGGACACGCTATTGTCCCCAGAGTTCGAATAAATCAGGCTCACCCCTGGGCATTATCTTGTCCCCAGGAAGCAATCAGTGATGCTTGCCAACTGACTGGCCAAGAATAAGGCATACCTGGAAGCCAGCATCAAGCTTTTCTCTTCCCAGAAGAGGGAAGCAAGATTTGCCACCCTAGAGGGGCCTCGCATTGCTTTGTTCCAGGTGCCTTGCTAAGAAGACCCTAGGCACGGTCCTGTTGTAGCTCCATCAGCTTCCAGAGCTATGGAATACCAGGGAGCGAGAGAGAACCCATTTCCCAAGCAGGACCTTGAGACCACCTCTCAAGAGCCACAGGGTATGGGTACACAGAATTCCGGACTCTGCAACCAGGCTCACGCAGTGCAAGCTTGCCTTGGGAGAGTCACTGCCTCTACTTTCTAGCTGAGTGAATGGCAGCCCTCTTGGCTATCGTGTCTAAAGAGCGGTCTGCCTGGCAGACACACCTCCAAGCTCACAGTAATAGAAGTCACAGCATATTGTCTAGATTCATAGAGAATGTGGCCCCACCTCCCCCAGTGCCACATTTATGAGTGATCCCTGGTCAAAGTGGGCTCTCCATAGTGGGTAACTCTTAGTGTCCATTGCAGCCTAAGACTACAAGTACTCCCAACGTGGCCCTTCCCCTTGTCCTAAAGATTGGGCTCTGATGGAAATAATTGCTCCCCAGTCCAGGAACTGCACATGAGCAACAAGGGTTCTATAGGCTCGGATCTCATTCTGATTTTGGGGTCTCTCAAAGCCTCAGCCTAAGAACATCAACAGGGTGCTCGGCAGACAGAGCCCACACGCCCCTGCCTGCCTCCTGTCTTCATCTAGAGTGCTTGCAGTTCAGGGGAGGGTGCTCCTTTCTACTCAGAAACCTGACAGGCCCCAACTATCCAAGCACAATATTCAGGATCACCCAGAAGTCCAAACCTGCCTGCACTCCAAGCCTACAGCTCCCTCATCTTGTCGATAATCTGACCAGTAGGAAAAGGGGTTCTGCCAGCTCCCGTAGACCAATCAAAGTATCCCATCCCACAGGGATACCTGCCACCCACCACCCACCACCCACCACTGCCTTCCTTGAAGGCTCAGTCCTCTGGCTCTGAGAAGCACGTTTGGGAGCATCCCCATTCTCCTCAGACCACATTATCATCTCCCACAGATCAGCATCGAGGTCCAGGTCACCAGCACGAACCTCCGACAACAGAGTAAGAAGTAGAACTATTTGACCTGCAGGTTACCTAGCTCCAACCACAATGACTGACCTACTAGAGCTTTTTACCCTCAGTTTTCTTGTCTGCAAAATGAGAATTGTTTATAGCATTTACCTTGGGAAAAATTACATTAGTGGCAACAGCCATCACATTCTTTTCTTTTCTTTTCTTTTTTTTTAAGATTTGCTTTATAAACAGCCATGGTGTGTGTGTGTGTGTGTGTGTGTGTGTGTGTGTGTGTGTGTGTAAATGCTGAACTGCACGTGTAGAAGTCAGAGGACAACCTTGGGTGTCAGTCCTTGCCTCTTACCTCTTGAGGCAGGATTCTGTTATTATCCTCTGCTGTATACACCAGGTTATCTGGCTCATGAGCTTTGGAGATCCCCCCACTCTACTGTCCTGCCACAGAAGCACTGAAATTACAGACACACACTGCCATGCCCAATTTTATGTGGCTTCTGGGGATTCAAACTCAGGTCCTCGCGCTTGCACAGAAAACGTTTCATTCACTGAGCTGCCTCTCCACACCAACAGCCATGTTTTGTTTTTTTTTTTTAAATTCCAACTGTGGGTGACTTATCCTATACCATCACCAGAGTGATGTCATAAAGAGAAATGATGATCGTCCCATGTTAAAGTTGGGGAAAGTGAGGCCAGGGGGCGGTAGCATCATTCATCCTATGTCGCCGAGTTAGAGGAGAGAGGACTTAAAGTGCAAACATAATTTCCCCTGAGTCTAGAGTTAGAGCTCCCAGACACTGCATTCACACCTGTAACCATTTCCTCTTGCTTTCCCCCACCTCCTTCCCAACAGTGTCCATTATCATGGGTTTCAGCTGTGCCTAGTCAATGAGGGACTAAAAATATTAAACGGAAAATTCTAGACATGAACAACTATGTTTCTAGTTCAGCGCTGCTATGAGTCAGGAGTATGATGAAACTTCATACCATTCTTTGATCGAGGTGTCCACGCTGTATCTGCTACTTCCCGCTGATCTGCCTTACCTACCCTAGAGTCTTAAAGCCTCATGTTATCCATGTCCATCTCCAGGCTTCCTGCCAGAGATGAAGGGTCTCCCTGGTCCCAAGAAGGACGACCCACAGGCTTCAAGCAGTAGCAGGAGAACAGAGCTTTTAGAGCTCTTCCAAATTCTGGGTTGGAACCCAAGATTTCAGGCCTTCTAAGAGTAGACCCCAGTGAAGTCAGCTCCCTTCTCCACTCCAAAACACAGCCTTCCAAATGCTTCCTCGAAGGCAGCCTGGACTCCAGCCTGGAGTCAGCTGCCAGCTCCATCAGTGAAACTCACACTGGCTGTGAATTCCCAGGCATATACTAAGCAGTGAGCTTACTCCTCACCCAACCTGAGCAAGTGTAAACTATACCATCCCTGTGTTC